AATTGTTAGAATCCTCAAATTCTAAAAGGAAAAAAGTTATGCTCAAATTTCAGTTTTTTTGAATTTTCGTTAAATCTGGTCAAACTACTTATTCAAGAAGTATTAGTGTTACTAAATAATTATTCAAGACTATTAGTCTTACTAAATAATTATTTCAGTTTTTTTGAATTTTGGTCAAATCTGGTCAAACTGTGGTCAAACAATGGTCAAACTACTTATTCAAGAAATATTATTATTACTAAATAATAATTGTTTTTTAGAACCCGGTTGGTGTTACCAACCGGGACTAAAGGTGGACCTCCACGCAGCGGCCACGTGGAGGGCCTTTAGTCCCGGTTAACTGGGACTAAAGGGGGGGGGGGCTTTAGTAACGACCCTTTAGTCCCGGTTCCAAAACCGGGAAAGGCCCTTATGAACCGGGACAAATGGCCCTTTTTCTACTAGTGTAGGAAATTTGAAGCAAGGCATGGAGAAGACTGGGATAGCCTGTGCCACTGCTTTGACCAGCGCCTCCTTGCCCGTAGATGACATTGTCCTTTCAACCCATCCTTGGATCATGTTCCGTAACCTGTCCTTTAAATACTTGAACGATCCATTGTTTGAGGCCCCAACATCTGTGGGCATGCCCAGATATTTCTCATTTAATGTTTCATTAGGAACATTCACAATATTTTTTTATGTCATTGCGAACAGCCTCAGGGACACCTTTGCTGAAGAATATAGATGATTTGTCGAAATTTATCCGCTGACCTGTTGCATTGCAATATATATCCAACACGTGATTCACCTCGATAGCACCCACACTATTTTCCTTGAAGAACAGCAGTCTGTCATCAGCGAATAGGAGGTGGTTAACCGGTGGCGCCGAAGGTGCCACTAGGATCCTGGCCCACATTGGATGATGCCTCTGGGTTAGACCAGCGATGCCCGTGGGCCAAGATCCCGTGACCGGGCTCGTGCTGCGGCTGGGCCTCGCTCATCGCTGACAGCACCGTGAAGAGCACAAGAAGCATCACTGCTCCCTTGGCCATTTCTAGAGCTAAGTAATGTGTGCTACTCCATAGATGCTTACGTGAGTGTATGTGAGTTTGTGCTATCTTTCAAGTGTAGCTCACCAGCTATTTATAGTGGGATGGAGGGAGTGTAAGAGGAAAATAAGTGACACGTGGTGGGTTCTAATTGGCGATTCAGAAGGCAGGAGTGGAAAGTGGTAGGGCAAGGTGGACAATAAAACTTTGCTTGGCCAATGGTGACAGGCACCTGACTCGGGGAGCACAATGAGAGGATCAACGGTTATGATGTTGCCTTTAGATTTTAGATTGTGGTTTTGGAGGAATTTTGTGAGTGGAGGATCACCAGATTTCTGTTATCGGTGGCAAAACTATGAAAAAATAGAGGCGGAAATCAATAACATATGGGCTGATGGGCATTCAATTGTACACCTTCACTAATGGAACTCTTTTTTTTCCTGAGGGAACGAGCGAGGGAATGATAATGGAACTTCCACTAAGTAGATCGGTGATCATGATGTGGCCAAAATAAGAATCAGGGCGCACTCCTAGGTCGGCATTTCTACCATTGTACTTGGAGTTCGCGATAGTTCATGTTGGAATTGCTGACATTTTTTGCCATGAGATGTAACGGATGGTCCGCGAGCTTCGTTTTTAATCGAATTGCACGGTTGGTCACCGGTTGACGGTACTGAAATCCGTTAGTAGCTTCAGCAGGGTGAAGAACACTACCAGATGTTTCAGAGGGGATCACACATGGGGATTTTACCCATGTTCTAGAGGAGCAGCCACAGTTGTATCCACACCCGAAAAATAGAGGTCACCAAATCATGGGAGATCACACTCGACCTTCTTCCTCGGCTTCGACTGGATGCCTGGAAGCCGTTGTGGTCATGGAGCTCGTGGCCACCATCCTCCTCACGAGGAGAAAGATATGTCATGCACCTTGACTACCGACGTCCCTTTCCTCTCAAGAATCTAAGATGCAGGAGCCTCTATTTCCGCCGCCTTGAGCTCGGCGTCAAGGACGTCGCAACTGTGGCCACCACCTTGCTGCCCGAGCTATAGCAACAATGCGCGCCTGCTCCCTCGTATTACCTCTCTCGTTGTCTATTCTTGCACTCGTCGTTCCAACCCTACTCGACCCCAGTTGGAAGAGAGGGGCATGAGAGAGAGAGGGGACATGAGAGAGAGGGAGTGAGGGAGGGGACACACACACACACACAGAAAGAGAGAGAGAGGGAGGGGGAGGAGGAGGAGGAATAGAGTAGGGAGGAGCATCCCCAACCCTTAAGAGAAATATGACATGACTCCTCCGCCGGGAACAACGCAACATCCTTCCACCTAAGACCTCGACCACCTTTGCAGTTGTGCCCCGTGCCTATGTGCAATGCTATTCCCGCAATTCGCCTTCGTTGTTGGACTGCGATGGGAATCGAGAGAGAATTTTGAACCCATATTGTGTGACATGGCGCTAATATGGCGAGATCAATTCTCAATACCAGGTCCACATCAACGCCAAACCACCGTTTGGACGAGTCATGTTCGGTTTGAAAGTATGAGGAACAAAATGTGGATGAGCAAAATAGTTTTCTCTTTAATTTTACTTTTGACTAAATTATTTTTTTGTATTTTCATTTATAACATTATAATTTTACTAGTACAAGCACATATTCACTTCAGGATCCATGAGAACATTTTCATCAGAGAAGCTCTCGTTATCCTATGTCTTAAGCTAGTCATAGTGGGAAGTAACTTAGACTAGTGTCATGCATATGACACTAGTCTTTGTTACTACCTTCATAATGCAAAATAACATATAAGTAGTAACATAGATGATAGCATTTATTACATTATAGACTCATTTTGCTTTGGGTTGCGTTATGTTACAGTAACATATTATGTTACTCCAAACACCTTTCTCCTCATTAACTCTATACCACATAAGCAAACTTGTCTTGAAATGCGCTATGTTACTTGCTAAGTTACTCTCACTATGACCAGCCTTATACTACCTAAGAGAGTGATCTCTGGTAATTTATTTATCTCAACATGCAAGCATGGCACATCACCGTATAATTATGGATGGGATAAGACTCACCTTAACATGCAACCATGCATGGAAAAAAGACCCACCACCACATGCAACCATGCAAGGGAAAATATTTTTAATTCTATCTATATTCAATAAAAAATTTTACAACTATACATAATCAAATATTATAAGTCATATGTATTTCTATTTTTCTTCACGTGTTATTAATCTAAGTATTTATATTTCATACAAATCAAATCTTACTGAAATATATTGCAATCGATTCACGCAGCAACACACGGGGTATCATCTAGTTTATAATGTAACTATCACTTGGCAACTTAAAATTATAGGTACCAACGAGGCGTTTTGGTGCTTGGGCACCCGCATCAATAGTAAATTCAAATAAAATAGAAAATGTATTCATAAAATCTGAAGGTTGTATACATCAAAGAAGAGGGACTCTCCTAGGTGCTTGCAAATCGCGCTGAGGTGGCATCACAGGATCTCGGTATAAAAATAATAAAATTGGAGCTACAAACTGTCCAATGCTGCAACAAATTCGAGCTTGACTTTATTTTATTTTTGTATCAAGCTCCTCGAATGTCATCTCAACGAAATAAAGTTGCAAGAACCTAGAAGAGTCTCTCAAAATGAGATTTTACTATTTATTATTTTGGTATTCTATTCGAATTTACTGTTTAATTCATCCAAGGAGCATCTGAGCTCGGGATCAAAATGAGATTTTCAGGCAGCGACAGTATGCACTAATTTGTCGAAAATATGTCTTGGTTCCTGGGTGTATATTCACCCTATATGGAGAATAACAATAATAATTACAAAAAGGTCAAAAAGTTCTGATTTTTTTGGGAATAAACCTGACTTTCTTTTGCACTAGTATATAATTTTTCACGAATAAAAACATAGAGTTGAATTTAGGGAAAAAATGAAAAAATATTGCTATATACAAATCACCATTCACACTATTTTGACCCAAAAAATGTTTTTTTGCTGTGAAGTCAACAGGTTTTTTTTCGTGAATTTTTTTACGAGTACAATGGAAGGTCAAGTTTACTTCAAAAATATTTTCAGATTTTTTGAGTTTTTATTTAATTACTATTTTTTTCATATAGAGTGTATATACACCCATAGACCAAACGTTTGCGTCGTAATTTGGCCTAATACATTATTGTCATGCTAGTTGCTAGGTAGTAGTGAACTAGTGACTTGGGCGTCTCCAATGTTGCAAAGACATGGGGTTTAAGCCAAAAAAATAGCATTAAAACCTATCCTCAAGGATTGTAAGGAAGGGTCTTAGCAAAAAACAAGAAAAAAATTCTGAAGACCGGGTCATAGTGCTAAAATCAAGTCATAAGGAATAAAAATCATTTCTCTTCTCTGACATGATTCGAGGGGTTAAAACCACAAGAAAAAATGAATGACATTTGAGCTCCACACTAAGACCCATGTGAGTATTAAACATTGGGGGAATGCTAGTATGTTATAGCACACTGAGTGAAAAATAGCACTGACTGAAACACAGCTTAAAACCGACTTTAAAATCTACATCGGTGATGGCAAGAAGTCAATCTCTTCAGAATACTTAAGAAATTATAGTTTCTGAACTATTCCCTTGGTTCTAAATTACTAAATCAGCGACACTTAATTTAAAACGGAGGGAGCAGCAAGGATAAAGTCATAAAGCAATCAAATTCAGAAGCGCAAGAAGGGAACACAAATTTAAATGCGATAAATAAATTTCCATTGATTTAAGAAAAAGCACACCACATTTCACCTAGGTTCACTTATTTCTTGCCACTTGCTAGACGATCAACCCAAGCAAAGGCACACCAATATTGAGGAAAAGGAGAAGTCCAAATCTCAAAGCACGGCCAACCTGAAGCAATAAAAAATGAAATGAAAACACTCTGTGAAGCATTACAATCAGTTAGCCCTTAAATATTTGCATGCTTATGCATGACGTAGACGTCGTACTCGACGTTGGCGTCGCCGGTCTTGGTGTTCATCGAGTAGGTCCGGGCCTGCGCGTACCCGCGGGCGAAGCGGAAGGCGCCGGTGCCCCCGACGATGGGCATCTCCCGGACTTCGGCGAGCGGGAAGTTGCGGCCGAGCACGGTGAGCGAGCTGCCGTTGTAGGCGCCGGAGGTGAGCACGAGGTTCATGACCTGCAGGAAGCCCATTGCTGTCTGGTCCGCCCCTATGTAGAAGCCCTGGGCCCGTCCCACGGCCGCTGACCCGAGCTCCGGCCTCTCCGTCAGTGGGTCATCCATCACGTACACCGCCCCGAACAAGGTCTGCAACGACGGCTTCGCCGGGCCTGCCACCCGCACCGACGTGGGGGGCGTGCCTCTCGAGCTGTCGTGGAAGTAGAAGTGGAGGTGTGTCGGTGCAACTGGGTCGGCCCCCGGGCGACGCCCATGGGCTAGGGCCCTGTTACCGGGCCTATGGGCCTCACTCACCGCGGACAGCACCGTGATGAAGAGAACAAGAAGCATCACCGCTCCCTTGGTCATCTCTTGAGCTAAGTAATATGTGTGCTACTCCGTAGATGCTACTACGTGTGTCTGTGACTTGTGCTCTTTCATGTGTAGGTCACCAGCTATTTATAGTGGATGGAAGGAGCGTAAGAGGAACACAAGCGACACGTGGAGTGCAGCAATTGGGATTCAGAAGGCTGCTCCATAAACTGGAGTGGTAGTAGGGTAAAATGGACACCAGTGCTAATGGTGATATGCAGCTGGGGAGCACAATGCACAGGAGCAATGGTCATGATGTTACTTGTGGATTGTGGCTTTGGTGGATCACCAGATTTCAGCTGTCGGTGGCGGCCAGTCAACTACGGAGAAATATTAATCTCTGGGGTGGAAATCAAATCGTTAAAGCCTCACAGCCTCTCTCGCCTGTGGAGGATGAATACTTGGCAACTGACAAGATCAAGCATAGGATGGTATTCGTCCATAGTGACGGGTAGGGTTAAGAGCATCTACAACTGGGCATTCCAAACCCGCCTTAAACGTCTGGGCAGGCCGCCCGGGTCACTAACCGGTCACGAAATTTTGACCATGTTGGCCGTCTCAAACGGGTCTCAAACGTCCGAACTGACCAGCACCCCTTATATCCAGCCCAAATATAGGACGGCTATGGGGGCGCCCGGCCGCACCCGCCACGTCAGACTGACGTCGGGCTCCCACGCGGAATCGCTCGGAAAGCCTGTAGTCTGAAGCTCGTCTCCTCCGTTGGACCATGTCGTTGCGTGGCGCCGCCCCGGCGGGCCGCATAGTGCCTAGCCTGGCTATTTAAGCCGACCGTCTGCACCGAAACCCTACCCCTCCACATCTTCCTTCCCCCGTCCGCCGCCGCCGCCACTTTCCACTCCCCATCCACCACCACTAGTAGCCATGCCCCTCACGCCGCCGGATAAGGGGCCACCCATTTCTAACGACGGAGCGCTGGCTGCAGCTCCTTGAGCAGATCCGGGCAAGGCGCGAAGCCCGGATCGCCGCAGGGCTACCTCTGTATGCAGTGGATCCGGAGGAGGAGGTTGAGGAGGAGGATATGGGGAATGCCGGGTACGCGGATCTGCAGACGGAGCAGCAGGCCATCCTCGATTCCCTTCTATCAGAGTAGGATGCGGAGGCAAGACGCCATCGCCGGCAGAAGATGGAGGCGCATCACGCCCTGGAGGAGGAGGAGATGTTCGTCTACATGAATGAGGTCGGGCAGGAGGAGGAGGAGAAGCCAGAGCCCTCCTACGCGCCCGTCCACCCGTCGCCCGGCACCGACGTCGTGGACATCTCCAACAGCAAAATTAGCTATGGTAGTACGTAGTATGTAGTATTTAGAATTTCTTTTGAATGCTTTGTATGGATTTAGGGGTTCAAATATGAGAGACTCAGATTCAGAGTAGCTAATTTGAGATGGGCCCGGCCACTGTTCGCGGATGCGCCCGGTCGCCTCTGCGGGCGTTTGAGGGACCGGATTTGTCAATTCCAGCTGTAGATGCTCTAAGTACACCCCGTCGATTAGATCGATGATAATTGAGATTCCACTGATTATATCGATTTCTATGACAAAGTGATAATCATGGCGTGCTATATTAAGTAAGCGTTTTACCATCGGACCTGGAGCGTTATCACTTTTTTTGGGGAACGAGCGTTTTGACGTATGAGTAGTGTGCATGCTGGATTTGCTGACATTTTAGGCCCTCCGAACATATGGTCCACTAGTTATCATACCGCGAACCGCGTGGCCCGGCGCCCCGGAGAAAATCCATGGATGTTCGGTCGGATCTAGGCCTGCTCTGAGATGTAAACAAACGGTAGGTGAGTTATCGAACCCCAACTGTATGAAATGAAAATTGTTTCTTTGTATGGATTTAGGGGTGCAGAATGTTGGCCGTGCAGCCTTTGTGTGTAGTGGGCCGATCCTGTGGTGCTTGGCTTCCACGCGGGGCAACGAGAGCTGAGAAAACTGAAAAAGCACTCGTGCATGCGTGCCATCGGCAGCAGTGCGAGTCGCCCTTTATGGATCATGGATGAACGCAGGGCGGCAGGGCTTGACATGTTCGTGCTTGCACACATGTGCTAGCTAGTGTCCCCAATACAATTCGCAGCAAAAAGAAGGTAAAGCTGAAACATTCATAGCAGTTGCACTAGTACTTTTACTATTCCCGGGTCTTCCTAAACCCCTGTTGCATGAAATACTTCTTAAATACCGGTCACTTAAATTTGGAAAACAATCAGAAGAGTTGCATTTGTACTCGCGAAAAAAACCTCCTACCTTTTAAAAGAAATGTAGAGCCACATTATCTCTATATTTTTTAACACGATACAAACACAGCCGCTCATACATACGCACATACACTGTACCCAGGGGCAGACCCAGGACAAAAATGTCTCGGTGTCCATGTGTATATCACATACTTTGGGTCTTTTGATGCTCAACCAATGTTATATGTAAATGTAACATATACTAAAAAATAATCTTTTTTGCAAAAAGGCAAAGGGCATGACACTAAAATTGAAATACTCCATGTAATGAAGTGTTATACTTTTTTTTCCGGGTAGTGAAGTGTTATACTTGGAATACTACTCCCTCCGTCCTATAATATAAAAACATTTTTGATATTACACTAGTGTAAGAAACGCTTTTATAATATGGGACGGAGAGAGTAGTTGATTAGGAAAGGTGGACATCAAATTATAGAAAAATCCAAACTATGAAAACAAATATCTTGATCACATAGAGCTAAATTATTTATATAAAAAATAAACTAATCAATTATATTTATTGAGTTATGGAGGAAGCAAGAATTAGGAAGGAAAAAACAAAATTATAGAGGCACGCACAATAGAGAGGTTGATGCATGAATCGTTGTACTATCTCTTTTCTTTTAATTAGCTAGTGATCTATACTACTCCAGTACAGTATTGTAGGGGCGTGGTGGCTGGATCAGTATTCGAAAATAAAAAATTGACCGATAGCTTGGTACCTGGCTGCATTCATGCCTCGCCCGCACGCGTCACTGTGTCGCTGGGCGCTGGCCGAGGGGGCCACCAGATGGGCCGCGCTTGAGTAGCTTTAGCCGGTGTCCATCTGTTTTTTTTACCGGTGTCACAGCTATATATGCGCTGTATATATAGGTAATTACAGAATTTACCGGTGCCCTGACTGTACCTCTATAAGCACTTCCAAGAAACTGAGCCGGCACATCACCTAATCACCTTAAGATTGACGAAGCCGCCACAAACTCCTTTTCGGATGTAAATGGCTATGATTTTATAAAAAAGATAAGGCATTATGACCGAACACTTGTCCACTTCTTTAGGCGACAAGGCTAGGCTTTCTCGCCATGCATGTATGCTTGTGAGATTCAATGTTAGACGCTTCATATCGATTCAAGGATTCAAGGGTGATGGTTGTGGTTCCAGAGCCCTGCTACTCAGGAGCATGTGCGCGAAGACTTCCCGACTGTTATCAACAAGGTCAGGCAGCTTCCGATGAGGTGCGGCGACAATGGTGCGTCAACGGATCATTTTGGTGGCAGTAGTGGTCAATCAGTGGACCAAGAACTTTGATGTAATTTTTATTATGTTTGAGCTGCTTTCTACTTTCAATGAACTTCTATATTCTAGATCCTTTTCAAAAGAAATATACATATATTTTTGTTTATAGAAACAACTTTCAATTAGTGTGTGTCCATGTGGTCGAGATTGCGAGTAATAAGGAATGGATATGACAACCTTATAGCGAAGGTTGTGATACATGGACAAAGTTGACATGTTATAGTTTTTAAATATGTTCAACCGCCTCTAAGGAGCATGGCCTAGTTCTATGTTAGGAACACGATCAGCAAGGTGTGGTCGCATGCCCAAATCTTTCACGACTCATCGGCACCCTCATCCACTATTCCTCCTCGATGTCGGCCCCATTCATGCTCAACTCCTCAGACCTGACTCTAGAGCTCTCCAAATGCGTCTTGGAGCTTTATAATCCTGTCATTGAGTTTATTAAAGTGAGATTGAATGAGTAACATGCCCATGAAGATCTTATATAAGCAAGGGGGCATTGATAAATGACCAATGCTACCCTTAAGATGGTCGGTGGAAAATAATAATTCTAAAGGCCCGAGTCATAGCGGTTAATGATCCACCGTCCATTGGTTTGTTGATATTCACACCGTCCTTTTCTACTACATAAGTTGTGCACTGTCTTCTGAAATTAATACTCCCTCCGCCCCAAAATTCTTGTCTTAAATTAATCTAGATACGGATGTGTCTAATACTAAAACGTGACTTGATATATCCGTATTTAGACAAATCTAAAATAAGAATTTTGGGACGGAGGGAGTACATAGCAACAGAATGTGAGGATGGTCCATCACTATTCAGACTTTCTGTCACATAAGAAAGTGTGTGAGAGAGAGGAGGGCCCATGGTTGCATGCATACACAATTCTCACCCTCCAGCAAAAGGCCATTTTTATTTTCTTTGTAACATTTTCGATGAGTCATAACTTATGAACCAAAATTTTGTTTTTGGAACTTTTTACTTATTTGAATGCAAGCCGACAAGATCTTTAATACAAGACCGATCTTGGACATATTTTGACTAGTTTGAATTTCCAATTGTATTTCAATTCCAGTTATATTTTACATAGAAGATGATTACTTTACTGAAATTGAAATTTTATATTTGAGAATCTACATATTTCACACAATTTAAAAAATAAGTTCACTAATTTCAATAAGCTGATTTGAAATGATGAGTTTAGCTAAATACGAGATAACCTGTTTCATGTTTTTGAAATAAAAAATTCACATATTTCACTCATTTAAAAAAATTGATTTCACTTGATTAAGAGAAAAATTGTACTCATTGAAAAAACACATTCTGCTTATTAAAAAACGGGTTTCACTCATTTAAAAAAACCTTACTTCACTCATTTCAAATGATTGCACACATTTCAAAAATGGAGTTCACCGATTTTCAATAAAAAACATGTATCAATTACT